TTTCATGAATTTATGTCAATAAGTTTGGTATCAAACTGTCGATTATAATTCAAATTTTAGTTTAAAATTACTCAATTTCTTAATTTTAAAGTAAATGTTAAAAAACACAGGTAAACATCGATTTTTGCGTGTCACGTGGTATGTTGAATGCAGCACTGATTCATATTATATGTTTGTGAAGTCAAAATACTAAGTTTATAGTTACAAACGAATTAGAAACTCAAATTACCGATATTGACAAGCTAGAATATAAAATGAAAGCCTCTTATCTTTTCAGTTTCCTAAGATATTGCTCATGTAATAAATCAAACACAGTGGCACCCCACCCACCTCTTTCAATTTTTGGAAATGCTCCCTTATATAAACTTACTTCTATATATGACAAATAACCAATTGGAAACTCAGAATATCCCACTAGTGGTCTTCTCAGCCATTTTAATGGACTTAGTACCATTTCTTTCTTTAGAACCAATATTCCGATGAGGTAGGGTGTGTCTTTAGTCTGCTCGAAATTTCATATTTTATTTAGACTGAAATACATCTTAGTTACTAAGCTTTACAAATTATAGTGGAATTTTAGGGTATTAATGTAGTAATTTATGATTTTTTAGTTATTCAAATGTATATTTAAAACCTAAAAAAAATATTTTGTTTCATATTCTCCACGTGCAAAATTTACTTCTTTATTTACTGTTCTATGTTTTAGGAAAAATATGTTTAAGAACTTATTTCAAAATAGCAATAACCTAGAAACATATACGATGTATAATAATTGAAATGTGACTGTAATTTACAAAATACTAGTCTATTAAAACACAGCTAAGACAAGTTACTTTGCACAGACCAAAGGTCAGTTTATGTTATTTGATACAGTAACATGAGTGCACGTGAGCCACATCATTGTAACTTCTGTATTGTTAGCCAGGCATGACTCAAAGGTCAATATAATAAAAATAATAAATGTATAATGTTATGAGATTTAAGCTATTTAGTCTAAACATTTGTTTTTGTGTTATATAATTTGTGTTCATTCTAGAATGAAATGGCATAAAAGTATTTTTAATATTAAGATAAAAATTACTTTGCATGATAGATAAGCAACATGCAAAAAGAAAAAAATAGACATGAGAAAAACATTGCTTTATAAACCTTAAGACTTAATATAAAAAAATTGGTATTTTGCGTATGAAAGCTTTGTAATGTTTACTGATAATCTACCAAATTTTATTAACATACACTTACTAATTTAAAAGTTATAGCATACAAAGTATAACAAGCACAAAGTGGTTTATGAGGTCAGTCCCAGTCACTAAGCCCATGCTGAAAAAGTTAACTGAATTGCTACAAAATGTAAAAAGTCAACTCAGACCCTGCCTTCCAAAGAATTTGTCTCGACTTAGATTTTCATGGTGAAAGGCTAGTTGTATCAAACAACAGAAACAATAAAAAAATTACTAGGGTTTTTGCTCATTTTAGAAAAAGTAAATCCTACAAATTTTATCAAATTACAAACATCACACAAAATATGAACATTTTAAATATTTTTTAGAAAAGAACCTCCAGTGCTCAAGAAACCTGTGAACAATGAATGTAGTTTTTCGAGCAATCTGTTTTGTTCTACATTAACCCCTTCCATGTCGTTTTTTTTTCTGGAGGGGGGATTTCAAAACAAGTTAGATTTTTTATTGTGCTTTTTGATAGCCTACTTGTATATTAATGAAACAAAAGTTATTTTATCATCTGTTATTATATTTCTGCACAAAAACATACTCGATAAATAAATGTTATATATCTGAATTTATCCACAATATACATATTTCAATGAAACTACAATAAAGAATAGGAAAGTTTTTCTACAGTGTTTATGATACATAATTCAGTATAAAAAAATATTGTCTGGTTTTTAAGTATGAGCCGGATTCTTTACAGTAGGTTTCTGACTTTTTGGTGATAAATTTCAACACTAAACAAACAGCACACAGTCCACTTATTTTACAATAATATATTAAAATAAGTCAAATTTATATTTAAATGTTCATTACACTGTTGGTTATAACAGTTCTATCCAGATCTTTAAATAATTCTCTCTTTCTTCATCAAAGTCCACACAAGCTGGCACAGTTACTTTATAATACAACTGACATGACAAATTGTTTCTTCTCTATTCTGTTATTATAATACAATTTATGTTAATTTCATTTCAAATATCACCACTATACTCTCTATATGACTAAACCCACAATTACACAGACTAGATCTATCTATCAAAATACATTTTTGACAGGTATTTATACCCCGACAGAGGTCTAAAATGTTACACTCACTACTAGATATTATAATGCAATAATACTCAATTAAAATGAGAAAAACTCAGAAGGTTCTAGTAACATGATGCAATAACATAATCATCAATTCATAACTAGCAAAACACAACATATGATTCATAAACAGTTATGTAAGCAAACCTGCAATAAACTCTTTTCTAAAAATAACTACATTTAACACTTGCATTAAACTTAAACAGTCATGTATATCTAACAGAGATGAGCACAAACAGTATTTTCAAAGCTATCTAGTAAACACTGATTGTAATACATAACACGCATATAAATTTCGGTAAATATTTAAAAAATGTGGCAAGAAATGGTTTGCCCAAATTAAATCAGGCAGCTATTTTTTGAATCACGGAGGGTGTCTGAATTACCTTGGGCAGATCATGGAAAGTGTTAAATATATAGCGAAAGGATTATTCGTCAACTTTTGAAACAGAAGAAATGATGTTTTAACCATAGTATTTGGGCAAACATACATACTAGTTATGTGAGACCACAATAAACCATTGGCAAATATTACTCATATTAAGTTTCTTTTGTAATTCCAATTAGTAGGGATGTAACAACATATTACTATTGGCCAATATTGAGCCCATAATCCTTCATCTTATTCTCATTATTTGTGAGTTTACAGGACGTGCAGAAAAAAGAAAGAAAACTTTTCTTATTAAAAAAATATATTTTTTTCTGAAACAACAGACTTTGAAAGTGCTCACATAGTAAACAATAAACTAGAAATATCTAGAGATCACTTTCTCTCTCTCTACATACTGAACATTGTTTAAAAACTTCTAGAATATTCCATATAGCTTAATACACAACACTTAAAACTATCTAAAACAAACCATGATGAGAACACAGACATTTCTTCTGGATCATTCTAATAAGTAATTTCCAGGATCACCTTGAACACACTGAGAACACTAAATACAAACAAAGAACCTGTGACATTACTTAAGCATCAATAATCCTATGTATACTTTATGCTTAAGTTCAGTTAAGTCTCAGACCTAGTTTCCTATATGATGTAGTACAGGTGAAATTATCATCTGTTATTATACCTCAAGTTATTCCAGTAAAATGAGTTGCTATAAACTGCAGACCTGTATTTGTTATTCAAAATCTGGAAGAAGAATTTCTAGATTAAATATTCATCAGGCCTGCCTCTCTCTCCTTATAAGATAATGAGTTCCAAGTTATTGGTATTGGACAATATTATTTTCAAGTAATGGTACCAGTTATCAGCCAAGAAGTGGTATCGGTACATCCCTACCAATTAAAGGATTTGAAAGATATCACAACATAAAACATTTCTGAAGAAATAAAAGATATTCTTGGTAGTTGCCCAAGTGGCATGAGTTTAGCTATTACTTCAAGTCTTGCTTTTGTTCTTAAGGTATTTCCTGTTTTGTTTTTAGTTTATTTTAAATATTATTCATGAAGTTTGCTGTTAAGTTTAAATCCACAAGCCCAAGACTATGAAAGGTATTGTTCAATCAAGGCATTATAAAATATTTTAAAATAATCACTTGCATTTTTAAGCATTTTAAGGGGTTAGTGTCCACTACAATTAGAAAATGGAAGGTCATTGAAAATTTTCTTGTCTGTAGTCAATCATTTTAGTAGACTTGAAACCATGGCTTTAAGCTGGTTCTATGAACATGTTAGAAAAAATGCCTGGCTTTAGGTTTATATCAGTTTTACTTTTTAACAGAATTGACTACTTCACACTTGCCTACTATCCTCTGCTATATCTTACTGAAATTTATACACAGTGATTTTAAGATAAAAGTTCTAGTAAGTTTAATAAATTAAACCTTAAATAAGTACTTCACACTTTTGTCATCTCCAAAAAAAAACTAATACAAAAAAACTAAATTCTTTTAAATCTAAACAGTTTCATGTGAAGCTACAGATATGCATGCTCAAATACAAGTCCACTAGAAATTGCAACTTTTTGTTCATGTCATATTATATAAATGTTAACTGATGATAATGATGCAGGAATTCTGGCAGGACTGAAAATTTAAAATCTTGTTTGGCAAAACATAATACATAAACAGAATGCAGAGACCAGCTCAAGACTGTTTTATGTACCTTTTTTAGGAAATTTGACCTACAACGAGGCTAAAAATAACTTGATTCATGGCTATTTTTCCATTTTACTCCTTATAAGTTCTAAATTAAATACATTGCTTTAACAAATTTGTAAGTTTTTGTTAATAAAAGTAATAATCCAGTGCTCCTTTCCACAGAACAATATTAACAATTGTACAATAAAGCTATGTTGCTTCACATTTTTAGAAGCAGAAAATTTCTTTAGCAGTGACAGTATTACTAAATTTTATAAACAATGTTTCTTACCTCCCTATTATTTTGCAGTCCCCAGTTTCAAAACACAATGCTGAGTTTAGAGCTTCCAGCCTGCTACTTTCAAGAAGCTTCATATTGATACAACAACACTTTGGAATTCAACTCTCCAGAAATGTCAGAGATGTAAGTTGTGCTAATTTTGTACACAAATTATTATAAAACTCTGCAATTATTACGAAATATTATAAACTGATCAATTTTGAATAATTTTTAATTTCACTGCATACCCCAATGTATTTTGTGCGAATCTAGCTTGGCAATTCAGCATATTAAATAAAGTTCTTCAAAATGCTTTTTGGGTGTTTTAGTATTCTTCTGTTTCTTCGAAGGTTTCTTCTTGATAAAGGTGACGAACTCCTACACAACAAGCTTAATTCTTTTGTTAGAGCAATGCCAGTGCACATAACGTGATTTGCTTTACTGGCTATTGAAGTTTTCATTGATATTACTTGTGCTTTTATAATTAGTTTTGAGTATTTGTCACTTAATATACACCCTAAATTCAACTTATTTTTTGTTACAACTTACACTAAAATTAAATTTCAGTCTATGAAAAATCTGAATTTTTGAAAAACTGTCAAACACAAAGTAAACTATCGTGATATGAATAATTTGTTTATTTTAAATTTTTTCCTTGGCTTTTGCTACCTCTAGAGTAGCCTTTTCTCTCTTTTTTTAATTTCAAATTTAATCTAACAAAGTTAGGCTGATAATGATGTGAATAATTCTCGAGACCAGTAGTTATAAAACTAAATCCAAGGTAATAAATACAGAAGTGCGATACTAATTTTACTGTTACTAACAGTAACAGTGTTATTGTTAGGCCTACCTATCAATATACAGTTAAATAAATTAGGCCTACTTTTACTTCCAGTACTCAACCAATTAGTTTATGTCAGCTTGCGAATAAACTATTTTTGAACTTTAAATAGTTATTTTCTACCGAAGAAGATACAACATGAACTCCAGGGTTTATAACACCGCTCAGAGCAACAAAATGTTGCTGAGTGTGCCTAAAGTACTGTTATTTTTCTTAAAACAATAACAGTAAACAAACAATTTCTATTTTTGTTCCTATCAGCTGTCAACCTTTCCGACCTTCGCTTTTATATTTCATAGTCTCGTTCACAAAATCACCAATTCAAGCATTGTTAAGTCAAAGAATATAATTTTTCAAATTTATTTAAAAAATATACACGCAATTTTTAATATATAAACGGAAACAAAAAAGTGTTACATTTTATTATTTTAACTTTTTTGTGCACTTTACAACTAGAGAATATAGATTCGTTTGTTTCAGTTGTTGTTAAGCGCAAAGCTACACAATGGGCTATCTTTGCTCTGAACACAATGGGTATCGAAATCCTATTTTTAGTGTCGTAAGTCTGCAAACATACCGTTGAGCTACTAGGAGGATAGTTACAGTTTCGTAACGATACTATCTTAGAAAGTGAAGTTTCTAATTACACAATGACAGCTTTTACCAGTTCAAAGGTCGGGTGTAGCCTAGTAGTTACAGTGCCTGAGTTAATATCCAAGTTTCATAATTCACGTCCCGTTGCCGCAAAATTGCGTTCTACACATTGGAGCCGTGTGTGCGTTCTAAGAGAACAATTCCTTTTTTATACCTTTTTACGTTAGAGTGTAGCGTTTATCTTTGATTTTAGTGTGTGCTGAATGTTCCTACTTTTGAAGGGATAGACTAGAGGGAATGCAACTAGTCAACACCACCCACTGCCAATTCTTGGGCTACTCTAATCAAATAGTGGGATTGACCACCATTTTATAATGCCCCACAACTTAAAGAACGAGCATGTTCGGTGATGGGATTCAAACGCACGATCAACATAATGCAAAATAAGTGCCCTAACCATCGTTAGGTTTATATAATATTGTTGCGTCAGCGAGGTCAAGTGACTAGTATCACGCTACCTCTTTCTAGAAATATCCTGTTCCTTCAAGAATGCCCTAGCATTTACTAGATATGTATTAGTCTTGTATATATATAAGACGTTCACAACGTGACGGAACAACAGAGACAGAGAGTAATTGAACTGCAGTCAGAGAGTGTGTAATTGAGTATTGCTGAAGTCGAGCACGTGAGGCGTTTGATTATAGAGCGACTGTTGAAATTAAGTGTATCGCAAATTGATATTCAGAATTTATAAACCAGATTTATTTAAAAAAGGACTTGTGTCGCTAAAGTTTCGTCGGAACGAAGTTATGGAAAATTAACTAACGAACGGAGACGTAACAAATTGGTGTCAGAGAGTGGGGTATAAAAAAATGGAAACGAGAGGCGGAAAA